TTCCCCCCCCCCCCCCCCCATCTACCTCCACCGCTGGGCTTGTCCGCTAAACCAGCTGGGTCATCCAGGAATACTGGACTCGTCTCAGCAAGTATTAACAACTTCTTACATGGGAAGAGAGGGAAGGGCTCACATTCTCCTCCCCACAGCCTGGCTGCTCGGCGGTAAGTTACAACGAAAGCACAGCTCACCCCGCATTTGGCCACACACGCACACATTTATTCGCAAGCACACATTACATATTAGGAGGTGGGCCCCAAAACTCTCGGCTCTGGAACTCTGCACAGTGCCAGGTCTCTGTTCCTTTAGATGTTCCTTGCGTGAAAAATTTACCCAAGGCAGATGCAACGGTATCCTAGTGCTGAATTCAACCGAGATTCTAGAAGGAGGCAGGCAACGAAATTCTGCACGGATGACCAGCCACGGGAGCAGACGGAAATTCTGAACCTGGAGCGCGGTCCGCGGGCTGCGGGACCCCGGGGTTCTAAGATGCTGCTCCGCAAGAGTGACAGCGCCCAGTCGCGTCTCCAGCCAATCGACACATTGCTCACGCCCCTGCCTTCGCCAATGAAAAGTCAGTCTACGCCCATTATGCAAATGAACTAGCCCTCTGGTGCTGATGGGGGATAAAGACTACCGAAATGCTAGCAGTGGCCCCTATGAATCGTGGGCTTCTGATGAGTCCTTTAAATGCTCGCCACCCCCCGCCCCATGGTGCCCGTACTCCTGCTTGCATTAACTGACTATCCTAGAGTACAGATTAAAAGTAATGAACAAGATATGTCACATTGTCTATCTGAAGAGTTGTGAAACAGATCAGAGGTCACTTAGTCATTTAAGGAAAAGCGTTAGATTTGCAAAGCCTGTGGCTTTAGAAGCAGCCTTGGGAATTGGGGATGCGCCCCCCCCCCCCCCCCCCAGCCCAAGGAAGGTACATAAGCAGGGGGCGTGATCTAAAGAAAATTCCATCAGGACCTGGGACGATGACTTTGCACCAGACTTCACGCATGTCCATCTAAGTGTTGTGGCTATTCCACAAGTGGCTGTTGTGCCCAGAAAAGACCGTTCAGAAGTTTACTTCAAGTTTAAATAACTAGAGTTCAATTTATTAAACTGCCAAATTCTTAACCGGAGTCCAGTCTTAAGCTTTTCAATCTGCTTCCAGATCTTTTCTTGTTTATATCTTGCAGATTTTAGCAACCGCTTCTAAGAGATCTTTGAATAATATTTGGGCCTGTTTACAAATGTAATTAATGAAACATGCCTCAAATAATTTATATGGTGTTTATAAATGTAACGTGAGCAGTTTCCCTCCCTCGAGGGGGTGACTGGAGGAGGTGGGGCGGCGCGCTGTTTCTGGGGTTCCAGCAGTGTTAGCTTTCTTCATCTGGGGCTGGCTCTCTTTAACATCTGGGGATTTTTCTGAATGTATGTCTCAAAAGAAATTCTTCAAGTCATCTGTTTGATGTCCTTTTTAATTCATTTAACTGCTTTTAACAAAATCTCTCAGGGTACTTTAATCCTTTTACATGTAGTAAGTGAAATGTGTATGTGGGGTGAACCTAAAATGCTCTTAAATATTCTATTACTGAGCATAAGCTTCGTAAGATTTCAACTGAAACTCACACATCAAAGTTAATTACTCGATTACACTTTAAATTAGAATGACTAGACTCGCGCTTTAATGGGCCAAATTATCTTAGCAGTACAAAGAAGCATAGAAGGGAAAAATAAAACACCATGGTTTTGATGCTCATAAGCCTGTCTGAATGTAACCCCCAGTCCTCCTGGAGTTAAAAGATCTGCACCCACGAAGGAAAGCCGTTACCGGGGGGGAAACGGGGTTAACGGCCCTGGGCCGCTACCAGCCGGGTTGCTTGGGGCAGGAAATTTCTCCTGGGCTGTTGGCTCTTGCTGGTGTCCAGGGACGGCCCCCTGAACCGTTCCAGGCTCTCTGTCACCGGCTTAGAAAAAAACAAGGGCTTGTGTCCCCAGCTCCAAGCCCGATGTCTGGATACTATGGACGTACACATTCCTTGATTCCTCGGTCTATGCTGACACAGGTCGGCCATGTGAGCACATTTGCCTGTTTCAGTTCTGACCGTATGGCCACAGATTGGCCCTTCAAGTTCAGATTTTTGAAGTAGCTGGAATCTTCTCTCGTTTGCACTCAGGATGTAACAACTCAAAGACATTTACGTAAGATGCGTAAGATGCGGTCGCATCCAATTTCCTCTTCTGTTTGGCCATGATAAGGTCACTTTTGGCGGAGGAAGCGGAGGAGAATTTTAACCGTCCAGGGCCCAGATCAGTTAGCTCGGGTCCTCACTCAGCTTCTGCTCCTCCTGTTGCTGCTGCGAGGCCCTTGTCAAGCTTTCCTCCCTCCCGGGAGCCTTCGCTGCTGAACTCAGCCCCCAACAGCCTCATGGGATGTGCCAGGGCCCTGGCCGTGCAGGGCTGCCCAGCAGGCGTCAGTGAGCGGCTCCTTCCTGACGCCGTCAGGCCCATCACAGCCAGAGACACCCCGCCAGGCTCTCCTGTCTTTCCCCTCTCCACTGCAACTTCGATGCTGACCACGATGCTCGTGGATCCTTCCTGTTATTTACTCCTGCGATTTCCGCCAGGCCTGGTCCATGCAGGCAGACAGCCCTGTTAAAATTGGGGAGACACAAGGCTGCCAACAGCCCACGTGGCTTTAACCTGAAGAACAGCAACACGTTGACTGAGTGCTCGGCCCTCCTAAGGTTTCATATGCTTCTGTCATTTCATCTCTACAGGAGCCCTGCGACGTCGGTGGGTCAGTTAGTCCTTTTTATCGAGGAGGAAGCTGAAGCACAGAGAGGCTAAGTAATTTGTCCCAGATCACACAGCCAGCAGCTAACAAAGTGGAATCAGAACACAGGTCTCTATTCATAAACCCTGCCCAGTAACTCCGAAACCATAAGCTGCCCAGTCAGGGGAGGGGCCACGCCCAGCCCAGGACCAAGTTGTGAGGGGAGAGGCCCAGCTGGAGATGGGTGAAACGGAGGGCTCCGGTTCTCTCCAGGGAGCAGACTGGCAGAGGAGGAAGGTGAGAAGAGTCAGCCAGCGGGTGATGTGAAAGAGAGGGGCGGGAGGGAAGAAGCGTGGCTCCTACTGGCCCCCCGGGAGCCTCGAGCGCTTCCTGCCATCCAGGCACTGTGCAGGCCCTGCGCCCGGTGTCCCTGTGCCCGGACCCTCCTGTGGGCTTTCACAGAAGCAAACCTCTCTCTGCTTTCGTTCCCTCTGAAACCCCGCAAAGTCCCTACTGCCGTTCAAGATGAACAACAGCAAGGGGGAACCAGTGCCCGTTTATGGGCGACACATCCCCCACCACATCCTTGAGAGCCCATCTGGGCGCCCCCGCCCAAGCCGCATTATCTCCTGGGGTCCTCCTCCCAATCACGGGAGAGCTGTGCCCATCCTGGAGATGGGACTTCGATGTGTCAGTGATGGAGTGGGCTTCTAACCATTGCCCTATATTGCCTGATGGGGGGATCTCAGACCTCCAGCTGAGTCTACTCAGATGACCAAGAAGCCACCATCCCTTACTCAGTGTCAGGCAGATTTGGTTTAGGTCTGCCATTTTCCAGGGTGTATATACTGGGGAGAGCAAGGGTGGCGTGGGGAGCCGGAGACTCAGAGAGGGTAAGCAACTTCCCCAAGGCCACACAGCAAGTCTGTAGTGGCCTCAGGACTAGAACCCAAGTCCCGTTCGCCCTGCCTCTTTCCTGCCCCGCCTAGGCCCCAGCACACACCCCGTGCTTCTGAGACACCCAGCCCAGGGCCTGCTGAGCGAGCGCGGGCAGACTAGATTTAGATGATGTGTTCCGCTTTGCCTGGCATGCTGTTTAGCGATTGTTCTAACCTGTGTGTGGGCTTCTCCACTCCCCCGTCTTCTATTTCTTTCTACGCCCCCAAACAGCCCCCCATCCCTCTCCCCCCAGCACCCAGCACGGCAAGCCATACTCAGCAGGTGCTCAGCGAAGGCTTGTGAGCGAATGAGGCAGGCGGCCATCGCAGGGGCCGTAGTGGGTGTCAGACTCTCCCGCCCGCACCCCAGCGCCAGCTCTGGGGCCTGCATGGGTGTCCCTCTGCAGGTGAGCCTGATGCCCCCAAGCTGCCACCGGGGATGGATGGAGAAGCTGGCACTTCGGAAAGGGAGGAGCTGGCAGGTCTGGCTGAGTCCAGAAAGTCAGAGGGGTGCTCTAGGTCCGGGAGCCCCCACCCCGGCTCCACCCCCCCCCACCCCCAGCCTGCACCAGGGCCCTCAGGCGCCGTCCTGTCCGTGCCTGCAAGTCGCAGAAGAAGGGAGCCCGGCCCCTGCCCGGTGGCAGCCTCCCGAGGCACGTGCCTGGGGAGGGGAGTGGATCCACAGCTGAAACCGCCCCGTTTTGAATTTAGAAACTGCGGGGAACGTGTGAGCAGTGTGGGCAGCTGGAGAAAAAGAAGAGGGGAAAGCTGAGGCTCGAGCGTGCTCGCTGGGACACGCCGCCTCCCTGGCGGCCCCCAGGGAGCGTGGAGATGGGCGCACGGCACAGAGGATTCCGGGGGCTAAGGGCTTCCCCACCTCTGTTGTCCCTGGGCCCGAGGTTCTTCGGTTCTTTGACTGGAGTGGGCTGGAGTCGCCTGGGGGGCTGGCTGAAACGCGGGTTCCTGGGCCCCCAGCCCCTGAGGCTGATCGAGTAGGAACTGGGGGAGGCCCAGGAACTTGAGTTGTTAAGGAGCCCCCTCTGCCCCCACCACGCTGGTGGTCCTTGAACCACACCTTGGAAGCTCTTCTCTGGGTTTTTGCCCAAGGGCTGGAAGCGCCTGTGTTTACCTGCAAGAGATTCTGGTGGCAATGCTGGAGGCCCCATCCTCTCGCCCGGGGCCCCCAGGCCCAGCTCAGCGGGTCCAGAGTGTCTCTGAAAGCTGCGCAGGCTGCATTCTTCCCTGAGAGGCCCCGACCCCAGGCTGGAGCTGGGGGTCCCGGGAAGGGACAGAGGAAAGAAAGGGACCCAGAGAGCCGGGGTGGAGCCCAGCAGCAGAGGCCCGGGATGCGCTGTGCCCCCAGGCAGGGGACACCATGTGGGGAGCAGGGGGACTGGCCGGACCCCTCCCAGCACCGACTCCCCTGGGCCGGCCCTGCGGGTAGTGGTCACGGCCGGCAGAGCTGGGGGGGCGCCTGGAGGTCAGCCAGCCCCTTCAGAGCCGGGAGACTGAGGTTCTAGGAGCTCCCATCTCGAGCACTTCCAGTATTCTTTCTGTAAGCAGGTCCCCGTAACTTGCTGTCGTGCAACAAGCTCCGGGCTCTGACTCAGGGAACAGCAGCCAGTTCTGCTAGGCCACTGAGCCCCCGGGTGAGGACTGGCATCGCAGCATCACTTCCCCAAGGACAGCGAGCAGATGGGGTTAAATGCAGGGAAGCGGCCATTGACGGGCAGTGGCTGCCTGGAGCACCGTCCCCAGAAACACTGGGAGAGGGGTGGGGAGGGCTTAGGGGAGACCTCCGCAGGCCTGCAGTGCGGGCCCCGTGCTGTCCGGAGCGTTCTATGTCTGTGAGCTCACTCGGTCCCCCCAGCAACACTGTGTCGTAGGTATTGTATTCTCTCCACTCTACAGAGCAGGACGCTGAGGCACAGAAAGGTCGGGGACTGTGTCCCGGGACCCAGGAGTGTGTGGCCCAGCTGAGACTGGACCTGCGTCGTCCGGTTCTACAGCTCCAGCCCTTCCCCATCTCATGGGTCCTCAAAAACGACAACACGGGAGCTCCTGGTGACAGTGAATGACTGCATCTGCCTGGGCGCGGCCGGGACGTGAAGGCACGCGCTTGTCTCGCAGGTCTTTGCTGCCACACTTGCAGCCTGTGGCTCTATCACCCATGAACAAGCCTGCATGGA